TCGGGCAGGGTCGCCTAGGAAACGGGCCAGGGGCGCGCCGACCGAGCCTCCCTATGGCCGCGGTTGTGAGCCAGGCAGGGGCAGAGAGCTGCGAGTGCGAGCGCGCCCCCCCAGATGTTGCGCCCGGTGCGGCCGGCCCGGAAAAAGGTGCCGGAACGCGGTTCCGCCGCGTTCCGGCTGAAAAAAAGCCCTGGTTTTACGCCTTCAGTTTTGCTTGCCTCTTAACCATTCCTTTGCCTTTTGGAATGCTAGCTCCAAGTGGAATAATTAACAAGAACGGAATTAATGTTTGTATTTACATTCATTGGAGAGGAAGGGATTACAAGAGAGTAAGCAAGCACACAAAATACACATTGAAAGCAATTTTATTATTTTATTTGTTAAATTTATTTGCCACTTATCTCATGGAGTTCCTCGAGGCAGCAAATAAATTTAATGCACTGATGTTGGCAACTGCAAATGCAGTATTCAGAACAGTCCAGAGAATTCCTCATTGTGGCTATTCTTACTCTCTTGGAATCCTTTCCTCTCTAATTTCTTCATTCTTCAAGAGGGGAGGAACTAGTCTGGTACAAGAGAGATTGCCTACAGAAATAGTTGTCCCCCCCCTCCTCTCTCAGAGTGGAGAGATTTCCACAGGTATGTTTTGGCACATGGTCACCATCATTCCCCCGCACATCGCCCCTCCAATTTCTCAATTTCAACATTAAACATTTTTTTGAACATTACTCTTTTGAACAACATTATCATGTTCCCTTGGCTTAATTGATATAGTGCCACATCATGATTTGAATTAATCATATTAAAACCTGAGCTGTGTTTTCAGCTTTGAAATGTAGAAGTTTTGAGCTATTTGCCTTTTAGTCTGTATTGAGCAATTAACTTTCAGTAATAGTGTCATAGTGCCTCTTTAGTTCCTATCTTCCCCAATAATAATTGTCACAAAGCGCTTACAAATCTTCAATCATTACTGAATTACAATTAATATAACATCCTTTTTTTTCTTTGTTTCAAGAAAATTGTCTTTATCTACAAACTGCATTGAAAAAATTGCCAACTTAAATGGGCTAAGTAAGTAATAATGAAAATATTGCATTTTAACTATTTCTCCTTTCTCAAACTTCGGTAAACCACGATTCTAGAAATGGAGTTTATATATGTCACACTTGCTTATGCTACCTTATCAATTTTGTTCCTCATTCTATTTGTAGAAAATGACTTATTGTATGTATCTTATACTACAAAGATAGAGATGTCTCCTTTTTTAGTACACTATGTAAGCAGAGACCTTAAATATTCAGTTGGATAGAAAGTTGGGATATAAATTGGATAAATAAATTTAAAAATATTGTTCCCATAATTCTTAATGAAAGATTTTTCTCCTGCTGTGGATTGATTTAGGCTGATAGTAACAACTATTCTTATTAATCTGTCTTACTGTGCAGCCAAATAGAGTTAATTTGAAAATCAAGCTTTATTTGAAAACAATACAAGCAGTACAATATTGTCTTGATTGATTTTATTTGACTACTGATTGAATGATAGCCTTTTGCACTGATAACCTTTTGCATCATTTGAAATAGGCTTGTGGCATTGTTGAAAAAAAGACTTGGAATGTTTTTCAAGATATTCAGTATAACTTTTTCTACTTAAAATGAATTGATTGTTTTTTTAAAAATATTCCCTTCGATTGTTTTAACCTCTTGGGAAGCTTGTCATCTGTCGCCTCTAGCCATGTCATGAATCCACAAATGCACAATTCAGTATGTTAATGAGGAAGTTGATTATTTTGGCTTATTACATGACTTGAGCTTATGGCTCTCTGTATAATAATATGTTCAGAGCATGAGAAAGATTCAGGAAATGTTTAGGAAAACTCAGCTATCTGCTAATTCCTCCGTTATTTGCAAAAAGAACAGCCAGCTCTCTGGTTCACAGTGAAGCCATTAACAAGAAAGTGAAAAAGACTCTCTCTTAATGAAATATAAGATAATTGGGCTCTGACGTTTAGGGACTATAATGCAAGTTGCTGAAATTTCTGTAATCTTACCTCTTAACCCTTTTAGTAAATATTGTTAAAGTAGCCTGAAAATCTTGCTTTTGATTGAATCAGTTACCAAAAATCTAAAGTACAGTTAAAGCAACCACAAGACATTTCTAAATAGCACCTGTCCAGTGCTGAATATCTATTTTTATTCTCTTTTTTTCTATTCAAATTCTTTTTTCCTTTAACAGTTAGGTGTAGTGAATAAGGCACCAGGCTAGAAACAGAGAGAGTGCAAATTCTAGTCCCACCTAAGACACAAAGGCATCTGGGTGACTTGGGCCAGTTATTTTCTCTCAGCCCTGGGAAGGAGGCAGTGGCAAACCACATCCAAAAATCTTGCCAAGAGAACTGCAGGGATAGTAGTCAGCGGGAATCAGCACACACATTTTTTGACCAACTGGACTGATTTGCATTATTCTTAAGTATCATGCACTGGGTATTTATTTGTTTGTTTGTTTGTTTATTTATTTATTTATTTATTTATTTATTGTATATGCTGCCCAATTCTCAAAGCTTCTGGATGGTTATAGTATTTCTTAACTAATAATGTAGAAAAATAAGTTTGTTTCTATTACAGAAAACTTGCGGATATTGTCATTGGGAAGGAACAACATAAAAAATCTGAATGGGCTGGTAGGTAATCTTGATGAGATAGTTGCTTCTCATAATAACAGTAAGAGCATCAGTGCATGTAGTGGATATTAGTTTGTTGGGACAAATATTGAATAAAACCAACAATACTGTGTAAGTTAAAAAAATCTTGAAGAACCACCAGATTCATGAAGAATTATAAGATATCTACCTCATGTCAAGAGGATATATGAGGTCCACAAATAGTTTTTCACAGCTAGTCACAGTCATCAACAACACCTCACTAAGTAGCCATACAGCTCAATTCACTTAGTGGAGCTGCTCAAGAAGGGTTTCAAAATATACCTTAAGATGAGTGGTGGGATTCAGCTGGTTTGCACCACTTCAGCAGAACCAGTAGCTAATTTTTTGTTGCCCAGGCCCAGAATTGACTTCCGGAAGCGGCATCCACACAGAGAACCAGTTGTTCACATATTTGAATCCCACCGCTGCTTAAGATCCAGTTATGACTGGCAGCTAATGCAGATAACACAATCATTTGATCAACTAGTTCCATTTAACATTGCTGCCATATGGGAAATTTCATTCTTTATTCCTTGCATTGCAATAATTCAACTACACGTTGCCAGAAAGCAGTATCAGCAACAATCTATCAAGGCAAGTCACGGTTAGTATATCTGCTAAATTGTTAAATGATGCATGATCAATATGTATGTCTGCACCAAAATAATGAAATCAACAGCACTTACACTATGAACCTGATTTTTTGGGAAGTTCAACTTCTCTGAAGCACCATTAATTATCTGGATTGTTTATTATTCTCGTCCAGTCTATCACTCTGCTGAATTCTAATTCAGAATATCTTCTGTCTCATAAAAATTAAGTTATTTCTTGCAACAAATTAATATCTTAGCAGATCAGAACTCTCAAATATGTCAGTCTAGAACAGGCTAAAATCCCAAGGAAGTTGCTTGACATGACTCTTGCCTGGCTGGTGTAATTTAGAAGGCTTTGAAATCTGTGGATTCCTCTTATGATCCCCTCCCCAACTTGGATATATATAGAACGAGGATTTGGTTTTTCTTTCAACGCTATCATTTTTTAAATTTTAAATTTACCTCAATTTATGCACTGGTAGGGAAGTAAAGAGTCATACAATTTTTTATTTTGCTTTTCTAATTTAAAAGCTTCTGGTGGTAATAGAACATTTTCCTCAGAACATTATTGTCTTTCAGGAAGCAGTTGGGGATACATTAGAGGAGTTGTGGATCTCATACAACTTGGTTGAGAAGTTGAAAGGTCTCCATGTGATGAAGAAGCTGAAGATTCTCTACATGTCCAATAATCTGGTGAAAGATTGGGGTAAGACAATGTCATCAGGTCTACTTTGAAACATATTGATCATTTTACTTCCTTGGTGCTTTTAGCTGCTGCACTAAACCTCCTCATGTGTTGCGGTTATCTTATCATGTGAACTTGACTATTGCCTATTGTACACTGCCCAGCGTCATTTCTCATGAGATGGACGGCTATATACATTTGATTAATAAATTACTTAATAAATAAACTTTGGAATAAAAAGATTAAATTGTATCAGCAGCACAATTATCCAGGGAAGGCTTCTTCAGGAGGGGCCTCACCACCGCCTCCTTTAAGGTCGCGGGGAAGACACCCTCCCGTAAAGAAGCGTTTATAATTCCCTGGAGCCAGGCTCGTGTACCCTCCCGAGCTGCCAGTACCAGCCAGGAGGGGCACGGATCCAATAAACATGTGGTCGCATTCAGCCTCCCCAGGATCCTGTCCACA